TACTGAAGAAATTGCCTTCTCAGATTCTCAACTGCGGGCAGTTTTTTGTCGCCTGTGGCGGGTCTAGGTTTGGTAGTAGTAGTAGTAGTAGTAGTAGTCGTAGTGGTAGTGGTAGTGGTAGGGGTAGGGGTAGGGGTGGGGGTGGTGGTCGTAGTAGTGGTAGTAGTAGTAGCAGTAGTAGTAGTAGTAATAGGAGAGTATCACATGAGTAGTACCAATCATCACATGTCATCGACATAAACGAGTCTATACAACTAGCCCCTCTTCACCCTCCAGAAGTTCTTCTCAATGAGGGCCATGCTCAACTCACCAACGGACTGATTTCATGGGATAGCCCGACTCACCAAACCAGGACAGTTGGAATATGGCTAATTCCGAACGACCTAATTACAGAGTGAAAGACCCAAACAATCAGCCACCGGCACATCGCTACATCTGGTCGGAAGACTGTTGCTGGGATGGATCAGCCAGATGGAGCCACATGGTTTTGGTTTGGTGTTCAAAGCATTTCAAAACGATATGGGTGATTGAAACCATTCCCGCATATTCCTTCCCAAGTAGCGAGGGAAACTAGACACATTCCACCGAGCATGAATGGTTGATGGATTGATGACAGCGACTTATGACTTTGAGAATTTGTCACACCTTTTGGAAAAAGCTCTAGCTGCAAATGCAAAAGTGATACGGTAGATCATCAAGAGAGGTTTAACAGTGAAGGAGTTGCCAGTTGTTTGGAAGAAACATGAAGAAACCTCTTGATGCAGCACTGTTTCAATGCATCTTTCCAGAATCGGGGCCAAGGGTACAACGTCCACATAGTCTCAAGACAGCGATCAGCCTCGATTTCAAGAGTCCTTAGTCTTCCCTTTTCAACCACACCAAGACCTGGTCGTGCAGTCTTGCGTCCGTCATTGGCCCAGGCGGCCAGGGGTTTGTTACAGTCCTTCTCAATGGTTTGTTACAGTCCAGCCGGACTTTCATGGATGAGGCTTTTTGCCTCTACGATGCATGCACCAAGGAGGGATCTCTGCAAGGGAAAGGAAAAAAGGTCCTTCTCAATGTCGTCGGAAAGGGTGTCAATCATCAGGAGGACGCCGTTGCTCTCCTGAGTTCAACGTGTTCGGAACGGAGCGGAAACCGAGGTGCTTGGTATCGACGGACGCCTCAGCTGGTTGGGACTCACAGCTTGTCGTCCTATTTGACCCACCAGTTCAATGTTAAAGATACCCAAACCATCCATGTATGGAATAGTTATATATATATATATACATGGATGGTCTGGGATACTTGAAGCATGTTGAAGCTCCTCCTGTCTTGAGCTCCTTCCGAGACGTGGTGGCTTTCGACTCTCGACGTCGCTCCTGGGTCTTCTTCTGGTAGCCTCCCTCGAAGGTCGGTGGCTTTTCTCCCTGAGCGAGGAACACATCGAAACAAGGGCCCCGGTTCACGGGGACACTCGAGGGTAGTATCCCACCCACCTCTGGAATCGGATTGGGGATTGAACAGTTGAAGGATAAAAGGTACTCCCAGAACGTGCTGGCTTTGGGAACCAAAGCTGGTCCAACTTGGAAGGGCTTGCACTAAACTGGATAGAGAAATACATGTTCAATCATGTTCATAATCGCTTCTCCAGGAGCGATGAAGATCTGCTCATGAAAGTCTCACTGAGTGGTTCTTGATGTGCAAATCTGCGATGCATCCGAAACATATTAGGATCATCCCGGTATGAATTAGGGGTGCAAGTCGCGCCGCCCCCCCATCTTTTCAGGTGTACCCCAGGCATGATGGTCTCTTTAAGAAGGTGGAGCTTACCAGGCTCAATTATTTTATAGAGGAAATAGCCAGGATGCTCCTGGAGGTCGATCCGGACACCCTCACCAGCACACGGGTGAAAGCACCAAGGAAATCCATCATGACAGACAACCTCTAGATGTGGGCCTTTTCGGCAGCAAGTGTCTCATCTGTCCCGTTCCCAACAGTGCCTTGATCTGGAGGAAGGACAAGTCCTCAGAGTGATCGGGCGATGCTCTCGAGGCCACGCGGAGGTTGGAAACCGCAGGGAATTTCTCGAGATCAGTGGCTTGGATTTGCTCCAAGGAGTGTGCAACAAACATATTCCCAAGAAAAGGATTCACCCATAAAGGAAAAAGTAAAAAAAACAAAAACTAAGCAAAACCCTGCAGGGTTGACATCGGGTTGATAAAACTAAGGATGATTTCATATTATAGGGCCGTTGATAGAAGCCTCAACTGATATCAACTGCATGCCTTTAAGGACAAGGGATTCTGCAGCTACAGGGATGCCGCAGGTCTCTCCGTTCTCTTGTTGGAATCATTCCATTCAGAGGGTCTACCCGAACCACCTGCAGCACCTCCATGGTTCTTTTCAAACAGGGGTCGATGTCATTGTCAAACAGCTCCTCTCCAGACCTCAAACTGCACTCGCAAGGCAATGATGCTACCTGTGTTCATGGCGTGGAGCCATGGCGTCCTGTATCATGCCACAAAGTACCACCTGGAGGATGACATGGACCAGTGCCACCCAGGCGCATACGGGCTCTTGGTGGTGGTCGGCGCCACCATGCTGGGGTTGTAGACCTGCATCGTCAGGTGTCGTGACCGTCCACAGGGGTGATCGATTACTCGGTGCAAAACATGACCTCGGAGGAGGGGGGTCGAAATAAACGGAGGGAGCGAGTCTACTCCCAACCCTTGGGGTGGTTCCAGTGGATTGTACGGGTTGTTGGTTACGATTGCCACCAAAAATAAGGACATGCCATCCAAATGGGTGGGGCCAAAAAACCACACTATGCTCTGAGTCTCTTGGGGTCAAAAATGTCTGAAGTGATTTGAGGTGCATCCATCCTGTAAAACTAGGAAACCCGGACTCTGTATCCCTCAGCCCTTGTGAAGCATTGCGTAACAGCCTCATACAATCCAAAGCTTCTTGATGATTAAAACAAGTTTCTTCAAGCATCAAGTCGAAAAAACACAAGTGCAAAGCACAGCAGGCCTTTTTTGCACGTTGGTTGGTTATGTTTCTTGTCCTGAGTTTGGTTCTGCCCCTGCTAGGCACAACAAGATTGGGCTTGGGTGGCTCAGCATTGCTGGTTAGCTGAGATGAGTCGGATCGGCATCTGCAACCGATTTGTCTTGCCCTGGGCCATGAGAAGCCAGGCCAGGAGAGAACCCAACATCTCCCACGCACTGCCGAACCATCCACCTTCATCTCGTCGGATCCCGGTTCGACCAAGTCACCAAGTCGATGATCTGTTTTGCCAAGTGACTCACATCTCCATCCCAGGAGCGGGCTGCAGGGGTTTCAGGGCCATCGGCGTCTGCCCCATGCATTCACCCACTCCAAGAATTGTTCATGTGGTGCTGGGATTATGCGAAGCAGATCATCGACTTGGTCGAACTGGCATCCGGCGAGATGAAGGTGATGAGATTGTGCAGTGGGTGATTCAGCGGTGCATAGGGGAGGTCCACATCATCCAGAAGTTGCAATCAAAAGTCGCCATGGCAATGCATAGAGCGAAAGTGAAGGAACAAAGCTCAGAATGTTTCACAAAAGGCAAAGTAGTGCTCAGACCTTTGACCCAAAGTCGCAAAGCATTTTGGCTAGTGAAATGCATTGAAGAAACATTACCTGCTCGGCACAGGTTTCGAGCCAGCAATTACAAGAAATACATGCATGGCTTCCGTGGGTCTTCAATGTCAAACACGCATCCCTCGCATGACGCATCCCACACTACAAGACCCTCCTGACCCTCCTGACCCGTGGATCGGTCGCTCGCCTTGTTGAGGCGATCCCGGGCCATGCTCAACAGGTCCAAGGCCGCCGAGTTGGACGTGGTGCTCTCCTGCCGAGAGCACAAGCGGTCAGGAAGGCCGATGCCCAAATGACCCGGGTGGGGTGGGGATTTTGTGGGATTTGGGGGAGGATGCTGTGGACAGCTGCAGTGGGAATATTGTTGGTGTGTGTTCCATGTGGAGAGGCACAAAGATTGAGATAGATTGAGTATACTTGATGATCTCAAGTATAGCAGAGCAGCATGCAGCTTTCTGCAAAAAGAACAAAACCACAAAGTGCTGGTGACTTGAGGCCGTGCACTTGCTCAAAACATCTACAACCTTCATCAACCTTCAAGCCGTTCGACCGCGCCTGGAACTCGCTATGCTCTGCTTGTCGGTTCTTGGTGGCTGTGGCCACCGATTCATCCAAAGCCTGCTTGTCGGCAACGCAGGTGTCATTGGCCATTCGCCTCCCTCCAAAGATGGAAGTCTAGAGGAAAGTTGTAACATGTCATTCTCTAGTCCACCTCCCTGTTTCTTGAATCGACTGAAGCATGTGAGTCGAACCCTGTGCAAAACATCCATTTCACTTCACCCTATTCACATCTGTGTCGCGAAGAGTCGCGAAGCACAACCGCCAAAATGCGTGAGTTGCCTTCACTCCAGACTGCAGAGCGACCACATCCTGCGACTATGACCAGGGTGGAGCTCACTCCAACAGGCTCCAAGTGAGGTTGGGACCTCGCTGTGGATCGGAAAAAATAATAGACACGGAGACTTGGGGAAACCCTGGTTCCTTTTTGGTCACTGGGATATGTGCACATTATATTACTGTAATATATATATATAGTAATATTGATTACATTTATGTATCAGTTGTAGATTATAGATTATATAAAATTATCTTACAATTGTTGTCATTATCCATGGCTGGTGCCTGGAACACCTCCCAAACTCTGGTCGTTTTAGATTTTTGACCGACCTTGAAACACCTAAATCCGAAACCTATGGGCTGGTGTCACAAAGGGCACTGCAGAGATTATATGTCAAGGGGTATTGAATACAAACACCAAAGTGGCGCCAAAAACACTTGTGTCATTTTGTTGGCATTGTGTTTTTGGTTGTCGTTTCAGGTGGTTCTCCCAACGAGCGTTGTGTTTCGAGTCGTTTGTGTTGTGTTTCTGTCGCTTGCGCGATGCTTTTATATAAATCTTGCATCATGCGTTTAGGATATGTTTAGGTGTTTGGGCGTGCCCAGCTCATTTCTGGTAAGGTTTCCACATAATGACAGCAGTCCTTGATCTATGTTGATCGGTTTATCCAGGGCCACTTAAAGAACAAAAAACCAACACCGTGGGGTGTTTCAAAACGGCACTCAAGCAATGGTGATCGTTTGGGGGTCCAGGTACAGTATAACTAATGACATCCTAAACAGTCATTGTTGCGTAAGGGATTGGCAGGCAAATGCAGGCAGTGTCTTTTGACGGCCCAAGGGAAGGCCAGGGCCACTCTGGAAGCAGTTCAATATCAAATCCCATCATAAACGATCATCTGGTTTGTGTTTTCAACCCACTTGAAAAATGTTAGTCAGAGGGTCCAATCATCCCCAAGTAAGGGTTGGAAATAAACATATCCGAAACCATCACCTAGTCATCAACCCAAAAAGTATCAAAAAAGCTCCTAGTAGCGTTCTTGTTCCTAGTAGTAAGGCCAGGAGCCCCTTGCTCCTAGTAGCGTCCTCTACCCCCAGATTGGAACCGATCCTAAGCCTAAACCCCCAATGGACAGCCCAATGTGCCCTTTGTGGCGATGGGATCTCAGATCTATCCCACCAAATGCATCGGCCGTTCAAGCCGCTGCATCAGCCTTCTGGAGCTTACAACCCCCCCTGCATGAACGGCTGACATGGTCAGCTGCTCCAACAACTCCAACGAAAAACCACTGGAAGAAAACATGAACCTCGATGTGTCTTTTACATCGGGGACCCCAACCAATCGGTTTGAGTCTATGTCACATCATGTCACAAACCACATGGTTGTTTCTTTTTGTGGGGGGAGTCTCAAAACGGGGAGGTTTCCCCTAGACCGAAAGAACAAAAACACCCAGTGGCTGAAAAACACGCTTGCTCATCTTTCTCTTTCTGCTGACATTCTTGGATGAACCTCCCGGAAACCCCAGAAACCTTCAAACCGTTTCAGCTCTGTAGCTTCGTACGGCGACAAATCAGTGCATCTCGGGACAATCCGGGATCCCTAAAATAGGGACAGCTCCTCATGCTAAACAACAAAGGGCATGGAGGTGGCGGCCACGCCTAACTTTAAAGGAGTTTCCAGCCAGGGATGGTCGGCTTGTAGCTCGCGAGCCCTGCAGGTCCTCAGCCAGCTTGCCGATGGCATCCTTCTTCTCAGCCACGCTGCCGGTGAGCGTCTTGATCTGTGCGCCGAGCTTGTGGCGCGCAGAAGAAGCCGCTGCGGGTTGTGACCCGTTGTGTGGGCCCGCTGACTGGAGTGGGCCCCCTTGATGGAGTCAGGGCACCAGCAACACATTCAGTACTTTAAGAGGCTGAAATGGGATGAAATGGCTGTGTCCTCAGAATTCAAGACCTTGCCAAAACCTCATAGCAGAAACAAAGCTAGACCCATGTCTCTGAAAACCGGGACACTCTCGTTTTGATGAGTGGGATGTTCATGTTTATCTTAATGTCTTGACTCAAAGCCCATCTAAAATGGAAAGGCCCTGAGCATCGACCGGGACTCCCCGAGCATCGACCTTGACACTCACAAAAACCCTGCGGCCCACAACAGCTCATCCTTCCACAACAGCTCGTGCACTCCTGGATCTCACAGATGTGGGGAAATCCGGCATGGATCCCAGTCAGTGACCCAGTCACACCTTGGAGTCCAAGGTCTTGGACTTCTCCTTCACGCTACGGAACTCCTTGTTGCAGTACTCCTCACTGGCGTCCGCGGGAGCCCAGCTCCCGAAGAACGACGACGTCCCGCCGGCCGCGGCTGCAGACGACACCGTTTCCACGCGACGCACGACGCACGACTCGATCCGGGCGTCGGTTGGGGCAATTTTTGGGGAGAGCTTCGGCGGCTTTGATCGGAGCAGCGGGGTAGAGTGTGATAATGATGGAATGTAAGGTGTGAGATGGTGTGGGTAGACAGCATAGCGTCAAGGTTGTGCTATGAAACGACAAGGATATATGAACTCAGGCAACCAGTCCTGCTGAAGCTGTAGCCATTACTGTGTTGTATGGCCTTTTTATACAAGATTTTATGCAACCCAATTACAGTAGTGGCACAGGTGTGAGATGGTGCGAGTATGTCTCAAAGAAGTCCAGAAAACATGCTGAGGCATGCATGACCTCTGAAGATATCATGCCATCAGAGATCCTGAGTTATCAAGCTATCCCCAGGTCCGTGACGGTTGCCCAGCTGCTGCGCCGCTCTCCTTCTTGGACTTGTCGTCCTCGCCTTCTTTCTTCAACCTTGGATGATGACTCCGCGGTATACCCTCTAAAGGCAAAAACATGCAAAAAAGACGTGGCAACATCTGGAGGCACAACAAGAGGGCCAAAAAAACACACGCGAGTGACGAAACGGCCGAGGACACTGCCCCCGCCATACCGGGGGGTCCTCGGTGTTTCGGGTGTTGTCACATTGGAATTTGAATAGCAAAGACATACTCATCCAGGCACTTTTGTCGTAGTGCCATAGGCCATAGGCATCAAGACCTTCCCCCAGGCCCCGCACGGTATTCGTGCTAAGCATGTGATCCATTCCCAAGCCTGTGCTGATGGCGCTACAAGGGTCAGCCACACCATCTAGAAACATGCAGTGGCCAAATAGTGGATAGAAATGAAACGGTTACCAACATGTCTTTGAATACTCAATTGAAAAGTCTATGAGCATCAACCCTCGACCGATGGAATCACCCGTCGTCCGATTCGGATCCAAGCAAGCGGCAAGGTCACCAGTCCATCGATCTTCTCCAAGATCTTGCTAAAGTCGGCCTCGGTCACCAGTCCAACTAATCCAGCAGTCGAAGACGTGTGGCACATCAGTCAGACGTCGAGGGTTCCGGAAGAGGACGATCCTCGAAACCCGAAGAAGGCGTCCAGGGAGACTGTGGAACCATACGATCCTCTCATGGCTTCGGGGAGTGGAACTGGCCAAGCGAAGACAAAGAACAAGAAGATCTGCAACTTGCATCGGCGATCCCGGGGTTGCTTTGAATCTGAAATCTATCATATTCATTCATGTTATGATGTTATGTAATAATGAGATTATCATAATGCACATGAATGCACTTTGCATCCAACAAGGTGGCCCCAAACCCGTGGCGGGAGAAGATGTGGATGGAAACACCTCATGCTGCACACACGAACTTTGAGCCTTCTTCCAACTCATCCAGGGAAATCTCTTCTAATCTAATGTGAACATGGTTAGTTTCTCTCCCCTACTCAGCTTCTTCATGCCACAGCTTTGGAGGTGTTGAGGCTTTCAAGATATCATAAGAAATCACTGAGATCACTTCATTGTTCCTCGGCCCAAGAGCTTGTTGTTCCAACTGTCATGTTGGCCACATCTATCATAGTTCTCATTCTTGGATCTCCCTGGAATCAACCCAAATCATCCACAAGTCTGGACTTACTCACCAGTGATGCTTCTTTGAAGATATGTGTCTCGCCTTAACATCCTCCAATTGCCCTCCGCCCCAGGCCGCAACACCGGTTCAATTGACAGCTGCACTTGTGAAAAACAGTTCTTCCCTCTGGGAAATCAAAGCACTCTTGTCATCTTCTGCCCAGGTGACCTTCTTTCCGGAGAGCGCCAAAGCCAAGAAGTTCAGCTCGGGGTGACTCTGGTCCTCGCCACAGGCGGAATTCATGAGGTATATAAATGGTAGCCAAAACCGTGACTGCGTAGCCCAGACAGGTATCCTTCAGATGATGATGACAACGGGGGTCTTGGTCTTTGGCCATGGTGAATAGGCACAACAATTAAACCAATAATATCTGAGATGATCTGAGATCTACGAATTGCCTCGCATCAGAAATGACATCCAATATCATCCGATCAACACTTTCCGGTGTCTCGACGTGAGTGAACCCCAAACGATGATTTCAGGGGCGCAGTTCACATCAAAACCACTCAGTTCACATCAAAACCACCCCACTCACCCAGTCGACCCCGCAAAAGCCGGTTCACGACGCCTTGGCCTTGGCCGCCTTCAACAGAGCCACGACTTCGCGCACCTGGACGTGTTCGGCGAAGTGGAAGAGTGGGAACGACACAACTCGACTGGAAGATGGTCCAAGTGACGTCCCAGCTAGACGTCATGAAATCGACAAACCCACTTGAGAGAGGAGGGGGTGAACGAAAGGTAGCAGGCAATCACAAGCAACCCTGGTAAAAGTCCATGACGGCGTGAACCGGCGCAGGGGGGATTTGAGGGGGGGGGGG